GTTTTATTGTGTTGCACTGTTGGAGGAGCCTGGGACCTAAGATTTTCATCGACATAACTACACTGTAGCTATGTACGTATGACTAATAAAAGCCTTGAATCTTTGGAGAAAAAACCCACTGTCCAGGCTTAAGGTCTGTTTCTATCAACAGGAGCATCAGCGAACAAAGCTTCAGTGACTCTGGGAAGCAGCAGCATCTTCCCTCAGGCTGTCACTACTCTAGAGGAAGGAGAACGCTTTGGAAAGTTCTACTCTGCACTAAACAGAGTTGTGGTAGGAAGTAACTAAGTACATTTACTCATAATGTGCTTAAGTACAGTCATAAGATACTTGTACTTTAATTGAGTATTTTCATGTTATGCTAATTTGCACTTCTACTACACTACAATTAAGAGATAAATGATGAACCTTTACTCCACTACATCTATTCAATACCTTTAGTTACTTTGCAGATTTTGATTAATGATGTGAAATATAATCATAACATTTTGATTGCCGATTTATTTGTAAAAGATTGTCCACAGTAGAGATAATAATGTTCATCTTGTGCTCTCTGTATCAGATGGTTGCAACACTGCTCATGGTAGTCAAAATAAGTACTTTACATTGATCATAAAACGTTGGTGTACTCAACATATCCGGGTTCACTATGCTGTTCTGCACATACACAATGAGATGAGGATAAAGCTATGGGTAAAGATAGTAGACCTTGAGTCAATATTGTTCTATCCAACATATAGTTCTATCAAAATACTTCCTGACGGTTCAAACTGAGTGCCGTACACAATGATACTCTCACTGCCCCACTGAATATTTAGTTAACTTTATCTTTCATATTTCATTATATTAATATGAACTTTCATCAGTTTGCACTTCTAGTTTGACTAATCTGTAGCTGCGACCCGGGTTTATTGCACCATTAAAATGTCCGATAGCAAAGTTTTAGATCTCAGTTCTGCTCTTACCAATCGATTATAGCTTAAGTTGTGAAAATGTAATAAACTGGAATGACCCTTGAAGAGCTTTGGATCGGCCAGGGTCGCTGTGTTCCTTTGATTTGTCTCCTGGGTCTGGAGAGGATAATAAAGGCTCAGTTTACTCAGGTCTGAGGTGACTACGTTTCTGACGAATGGAACTTCTTCAAAGCACTTCAACTCTCTTGATCACATTTTTCAGACGCTCTCAGCAGACTGAGGCATTCCTGGAAACCGTGCTGATGTAAGGAGGGTTTGTGAGGCTTGTGCTGATCTGACTGCAGATAGAGGACCTGCTGTTCATTTGACAACTAAACTTCACAACATAACAAGACCCTGAATGCATCACAGCTGTGTTTCAAAGCTCCATCAGGTATATATATGGGTGTCAGGTATAAACTGATGATTGATTCATCTTGTGCACTACACAAACTTGAAATCTTGCCAAGTATATTCGTCTTTAAACTTGATATAACATCTAATAACCTAAGAAGTATCAAGCAGTGAGGGTCTTGGTTTTAGACAATGCATCTCAAGTATCTTATTAAGTCAAAGACTCTTGAAAGCATCTTATTTTGAGTTGGATCTCAGATGAAATAAGTTTTTTCACATTGTTATTGGAGAATCAACAACTAACATCAGAAAACAGAGAACGTTTGAACATGTCTGGTTTATTCTGTAACACAACATTTCCTGATTCTGCTAAATATAGCTCAAAATAAGTTTCCTGACTATTTACAAGAACTGATTTCTCCAAATATCCCCATCTCATTTCAAGAAATCTTACCAAGCAAATGTTCACTTGTTCTGTTGGCAGATTTGTTAACTTATTACAAGCCGAATCACCTTGTTTTTATTATTTTGACTTGTTTTTGGAGCAGCATTATTTTCAGTGTCTGCAGAGATCCTTTCAGTTACTTACATAAAGTCATACAACTGGCTGTGCATTTCCATTTGGGGAAAGGACATCAGCAAATGATCCAATAATAATCAATAAGATGCCTGCTGCACTGTCTGTATGGTGGGGGGGGAGTTAGTAATATCAGTTGTCTTATAGCAGAGGTTGAGAGAGAAGGGTGCTTTATTTCTCCACCAGGAGAAAATTAAAAAGCCAAAGCTCGTTCTGCTCCTCTGCCACAGAGTGGATTTGGATTATGGAGCAGAGAAAATAATCCACACAATCTCAGCCACACATAAAGGATATCCTGAGTAGCAATATACCCTACATCAACAAGGATCAGTGCTCACAAAGCCCCCGCTGATGCCAGCCGGACGTTCCTCTCAGAGCAGAGGAGCGGTGTGTGTGTGTGTGTGTGTGTGTGTGTGTGTGTGTGTGTGTGTGTGTGTGTGTGTTTGTTTGTGGGGGGGTCATTCTGGTTATTCTGTGGTAACTGCTCTTTTCTTCATGTGATGCTGTCAGTCTCATTCACACCTGGAAGCTGTCCCCTCCTCTGTTCCCTGATACTGCTGTGGGTCAAGGGCCTTCCTCACCGGGCCCCTCAGTGTGAGTGATGGGGGAGTATTCTGCCAGTCCACAGAGGTGGGAAGTAACTAAGTACATTTACTCAAGTACTGTACTTAAGTAACATTTTGAGATACTTGTACTTTACTTGACAATTGCCATTTTATGCTACTTTTCAATAAATATATTGTATTAATGTGCTGGGGAGTGGGAGGTTAATGAAGGCAGGTCAGCGGGGGGGTAACCCAGAGCATGGTTCATATGCACATAGCATACGTATATAAACACTGCAACCACACAGAGCAGTATTAAAAGTCCCATTTAAATATTTAACATAATACTCACTTATTCAACATGCCGCAACTTACAGTAAAATCTGTGAATCTATTTATCAGCAAAAACATTAGATGTCTGTTTTTATTTACTTAATTTGTTACCTAAAGAATCCTGCAAGCACTTGTACTTTTTACTGATAAAGGTTAATGTTGATTATTTTGCTCAAATGTAATCAAAAAGTATTGCCATGCTGCTCGATGTGGTACTTGTAGAATACATTTCAACTTTGCATGCAAATGGGGTGTGATCTTTATACAAGATCAAATGTATGTTTAATGCTATCTAATGCCTCCTTTTGATATTTCTAAATTATGCTTCACTCAAGTGCCAACACGATGTCATGTTTTTGAGTTGTTTATGTAACGGCTTTTATAAGCAACATGTAAGTACATTTGCAGTTAACCTGAATAAAGGCTCATTTACACCTCTGCTCTCCTGTCTTTGGTGGAGCATGCATAGGCAGCAGAGACAGAAACTAGGTAAACACTGCGGTCCATCCATCCATCCATCCATCTTCTCCCGCTTATCCGTGGTCGGGTCGTGGAGGTAGCAGTTCCAGCAGAGAGCCCCAAACGTTCCTTTCCCCTCATCAACCAGCTCTGACTGGGGGATCCCAAGGCGCTCCCAGGCCAGCGAAGATATATAATCCCTCCACCTGGTCCTAGGTCTACCCCTTGGTCTCTTCCCAGCTGGACGTGCCTGGAACACCTCCCTAGGGAGGCGCCCAGGTGGCATCCTTACTAGGTGCCCGAACCACCTCAACTGGCTCCTTTCGACGCGAAGGAGGAGTGGTTCAACTCTGAGTCCCTCCCGGATGACTGAACTTCTCACCTTATCCCTAAGGGAGACGCCAGCCACCCTGCGGAGAAAACCCATCTCGGCCGCTTGTATCCGCTGCGGTCCCAAAAACATTATTAATAAAACTGCTGAAAAGATCAGATGGTATGGTTAGCTGGTTCTACTGATCCAGCCTTAGTGCCCTTGAATTAAGTAGACACCCCTCCTACCCTGGCAGCTTCCAGGGGGCAAAACACCCCATACGTTCAGCCCCTTACACTACTACTAGCAGTATTACAACCAGAAACCTTCCTCCCAAGAACAGCATCAGTCACAAAGGACTAACAACAGTATATGTTCATGTCTGAGCAGGTCTGTGGAGACCAGGCTCTGTCTCCAGTCTGGAATCAAGTCCTGGGGCCTCATTTATGAACGTGGCGTATGCCAATTTATAAGCAATCTTTGCGATTTATAAAAAACAGTTGACGGGAAAAGATGCGGTGCTCCACGGACACTTTGACCCATCCGTACGCACAAAAACAGGAGAGATGAGAAACTGCGACACCATTGGCCGAAGGAAGAATGGAGAGAAACATGTAAAATAATAACATAAATCTAAATATTACCTCTCATGAATCATTATGAAGAATTCATTTGCAAAAATTGATAAAAGCCAATCTTAAAATGATTAAACAAATGCCGGTTTGATACTCCTGAGTGCACACAGTAACATACCTTGGAAAAATAAATAAATGCGTGCAGTGTTTTATAAATCAGAATATCTTTGTGAGTAAGCACTTTCTTTGTCCTACGTACGCCATCTTTAAACGTGAATCCTACGCAAAGTTTTATAAATGAGGCCCCTGGACTTGTGCCTTGTTAGACTTGGACTTGCTGGTCTCAGGTGTCAAGCTTAACGCGAATGAGAAGGTATTATGGACCACTTTTACATTTCTATTTATCATTTCTGTGTAGTATTTTGCAAATTAGGTGTAATCCAAGTTTAGAGGAGAGCAGTCACCTACACACAGTCCTCTCCTAAACCTAATCCAGCTGTTTATCAGTCAAACATTCATCCAACATTAATAATAATAATAATAATACATGTTATTTATATAGCGCTTTTCCTGGTGCTCAAAGCAAAGTGTTGTCCTATCAGACACAATACATCACACACACTGTTCCCACATGCTGCTGTGGTCCGTCTCTTTAAAATCCCTGCTAACAACATGCTGTGTGCCCATGAGCAGCTTTGTCTCTCCTTCCCTAGGGGGGACATCATGAATAACAGCCAGCTGACAGCCTTCTTATGATAATAACAAACTATAAAATATACATTTTATATAACATTTCATTATCTTTGTGTGTAAAAAGAATGACCAAACTATTTCAGATGGACATGAAAACATATCTTCCGACTGTCCTAACTTTGAACATCACACATCTCTTACCGGTCCCTCCACGAGTCCTCAGGGTTCCAGTGTGAGAGGAAGTGCTGACCCCCCCGAAGACAGTCATCCCCTGTCCGACGGGGGTGTTGAAGTTGTTGTAGTTGGGGATGGCGGCGCCCCCCAAGCTGGGGTAGTGCTGCGGCGTGGGGTCAGCCCCATAGCGGTAGCTCCCCCCCTGGGAGAGGCTGGTTTCTCTCTCGTCTGTCAATTTGGTTGCTTCCTTATCCTTGCATTGCACACAGCCCATTCTCTATAATCTGTAGAAAGAAAAACCATAGTGTTTGGAATAACTCAAACGCATATATAGCATTAGACTGCTGAGTTCTACAGGCAGCTGGTTGACACTTATTTAAAACTTTTTTTATATTTGTTGGGGCTCCCAGTGCCATTATTCAAGTGACAGCCATGAAAGGTAGAGGGGACGGCACATGGTCCCGGGCCGGACACAGCCCCAGGACATGGCCGTTAGGTCTACCAACTGAACTACACAACGGCCTAGGGTGACACTTAAAGGTCCCATGTCATGCTTTTCCGGTTATTACCCGTCCCCTTGTGTGTTATGAAGGTTTTTATGCATGTAAACGGTCTGCAGAGTCACAAACCCTCAAAGTACACTCTGTAGCGCAGCGTTTCTCAAAGTGTGGGGCGTGCCCCACTGGTGGGGCGCAGAGATGTAATAGGTGGGTCGCAAATGGACGCGATGAACGGGAGATTTTATTTTTTTAATAACATTTTTGGACCTCAGGCCGCAATCGAACCTGGGTCCTCGCGGGCGGTAGTGGACTGTTACAGCCGGAGATTCGAAACGGCGGTGGACTTTCACAACGCCGCTGCGCCGGAGCCGCCGAGCCTCGCAACGGCGGGTGTTTGCAGCGGCGGGTGCGGTACCGGCGCAGCGGCGCTGTGAAAGTCCACGGCCCACCTATGCCAGAGCCAGCGGCCCACCGAAGGCAGCAGCCCACCAACGGCAGCGGCCCAGCGGGAAAAGTCCCGAATCTCCCGATGGCCAATCCGAGCCTGCTCACACACACACAACTGAAACCAAAATAATTTACAGACATATGTAAAAATCTTCCATACACACATGTGAAACACTCTCTCACACACACACACACACACACACACACACACACACACACACACACACACACACACACACACACACACACACACACACACACACACACACACACACACACACACACACACACACACACACACACAATCAATGGAGCGGAACCTCACCACTTCATACGGAGTTTAACCGTGACACTTTTCGAAATCCCGTTTGTGTCCCCCCACTTTACAAATAGGCCTATGTTTATTTTATTTTTTTAACACAGCCGTCATCGCCACGGAGGAGCACACAGCCTCTGTGAGCGAGCGAGACCCTTAAACCCTTAAATTGAATACATGTTATTTTAGTAAACACTGAAAACGGGCCAAACAGCACACAAAGGTTAAAGGTCAGCATATAATAATGTTAAAATGTGCTAAATATATACACTGCAAAAAAACAAAAAAAGAGGAGTAAAAGTAGCTCACGACTTGTTTTATTTTTTGAAAGTAGCTCTCATCCTAAAAAAGGTTGGAGACCCCTGTTATAGAACGATACATTTGACAACATTTGTTTAAGGCCTACCATTTTATTGGAGCGATGAGGAACAGGTGGGGCTTGAAAAGGCCCACCTGTTCAAAGTGGGGAATGACAGGAAAAGTTTGAGAACTACTGCGAGTAAAACTCTAACACAGAAAAGACCTGTCTATGCTGCGAGCCGCAACGTCCTGCCAACACGGCACCCAGACCCCACGCAGCATTCTCATCTGTTTGTCATTACTGGTGTCATTTTCTGGTTGCTAACGCCATTGTAACACATAATCACTGATGTTCCGCTGTAACGGTGGTAGACCATAGTGGTAGATTCATCAGAACAGAGTGGGCGAGCTGACCAATCAGAGCACAGTGGGCTCACAGGGGGGGGGGGGGGGGGGCAGGAGCTCCAACAAGCCGTGTAGGACAGAGAGTGAATACACATACTTTACAGAGATGCTGTATGAGAAACCAATGTGAGTTTGGAAAATTGCACAATATAAATATATTCTAGTATACCTTAACAATGGAATTATGATCAGTAGAAATGGCCATGTCATGGGACCTTTAATATCAGGAGAGACTTGATAATAACTTCCTATCATGACATGATATCAGTTATGTGCGTTGCCGTTTTGATTGGTTTAATTTCTGAGCTTTATTGTGTGATCAGTTGTATTAAGCTAGTATAGCTGTATTAGCAAAAGACACATAGAGCTCTATTTCTCTGGTCTCCACAGACCAGACGCTCACAGGACCATACACACATTCCTTCAGAGGGCTCGGAGACACACTCACCTCTCTCTCTTCCACACCTACATATCTCTTTGATTGTTCTATCTGTATCTTTACAAAAGTTGCTTTTGGAATGTATATCCTGGTGTGTTTAATATTGTAAAAGCCTGAGTTCATTTTGTTTGGTATATGTTACATTATTAATCAGATGTCCTTATTCACAGTGCAGTATGTGGAGAAAACGAAATCAGAGAACCTCACTTGTGAGTCCTCTCCTGTCTTCCACATGTTGGATGATTAGAAAAAAACACTGGTCTCTGTGGTTTTACTGTTTTTTTTATTTGACAGATTTATACCCTAAAACTGGTCTCCATATGAAAGTTCGACTGCATTGTGTGAGAAGCTGCACATTCTTTTTGATTTTCCGAATGACCCGCTCTGAATCAGTCCGTGTCACTGCGGCTCAGAGACAAACATGGATTTATGTTTAATTTTGTTTTAATCTTGCGTTACCATCATGTCAGGTTTTTGGTGGATTAAAACAAAATTAAGTCTTGGATTGCAGAGTATGAAAGTATTTTTGCTATTTGCAGAAGATAAATACTTGTGTTACGTGTTACGCTGCAGACAGCAGCGTGCATGCAGACAGCAGCGGGCAGACAGCAGAGTGCAGACAGCAGAGTGCAGACAGCAGAGTGCAGACAGCAGCGGGCAGACAGCGGGCAGACAGCAGCGTGCAGACAGCAGCATGCAGACAGCAGCGTGCAGACAACAGACAGCAGCGTGCAGACAGCAGCATGCAGACAGCAGCGTGCAGACAACAGACAGCAGCGTGCAGACAGCAGCGTGCAGACAACAGACAGCAGCGTGCAGACAGCAGAGTGCAGACAGTAGACAGCAGCGTGCAGACAGCAGCGGGCAGACAGCAGAGTGCAGACAGCAGGGTGCAGACAGCAGAGTGCAGACAGCAGCGGGCAGACAGCAGAGTGCAGACAGCAGCGGGCAGATAGCAGAGTGCAGACAGCAGAGTGCAGACAGCAGGGTGCAGACAGCAGCGGGCAGACAGCGGGCAGACAGCAGCGTGCAGACAGCAGCGTGCAGACAACAGACAGCAGCGTGCAGACAGCAGCGTGCAGACAACAGACAGCAGCGTGCAGACAGCAGAGTGCAGACAGTAGACAGCAGCGTGCAGACAGCAGCGTGCAGACAGCAGCGTGCAGACAACAGACAGCAGCGTGCAGACAGCAGAGTGCAGACAGTAGACAGCAGGGTGCAGACAGCAGCGTGCAGACAACAGACAGCAGCGTGCAGACAGCAGAGTGCAGACAGCAGCGTGCAGACAGCAGCGTGCAGACAGCAGCGTGCAGACAGCTGACCTTCTTAATAACACAGCTGTGTCTAAGGCCTGACTGGCAATGAACACTCCTTCCTTTCCTGAGCTCTGGATGAATCACAACACTCTTGCTATCTTCATTCGTTTCTAAGATGCATCACGATGCGGAGTGGACCATTCTGCATCGATGCAGTGACAGAACATAATCGATAATAGCGTAGTAACGTTGCTTTTTGATTTTCCGAATGACCCGCTCTGAATCAGTCCGTGTCGCTGCGGCTCAGAGACAAACATGGATTTATGTTTAATTTTGTTTTAATCTTGCGTTACCGTCATGTCAGGTTTGTGGTGGATTAAAACTAAATGAAGTCTTGGATTGCAGAGTATGAAAGTATTTTTGCTATTTGCAGACGATAAATACTTGTGTTACGTTTGTACGGCAGCAGGAAAACTTTTCGATCACCGTCTCTCCTCTCTATTCCTCCTCAAGTCATGTTTGCCATATTCAGAAGACAGTTGCTATAAGCTGCAGATGAAGAAGTATTGGAACAATTTACAGATAGAGAGACCTAAACCATTTATTTATTTTGGTTTACAATTTCATGTCAAGACATTTATATTATTGATTTCTGATGCACTTTCTAAATAATAAAAGAAATGGAGGTTATAATGATTTGACTGGTTGTATTAATTGATGAAAAAGTAGGCATGTGCAGTAATATAGACAATTGAGGATGCAACGCATAGTTATGCTTCGTGGTGCATCGTGAAATTGAATCAAATCGTTGACAGAATAATCGTATTCGAATCGAATTGTGAGACCAGTGAAGATGCACAGCCCTAATTGACTGCACACTTAAGAGCGGCAAAATGCTGTGAGTGATCAGTCTGGCGTACCCTGGGTCTTGGAACAAAATAGCAAATGAGCACAAAACATGGGAAACACCTCCAAAATCCCTTTGTAGACAACGTACACGGAGAGTTTGACACAAAAATATAAAGGCAACACTTTTCTTTCATGAACTATCAAAGATCTAAGACTTTTTCTATGTACACAAGAGGCCTATTTCTCTCAAATATTGTTCACAAATGTGTCTAAATCTGTGTTAGTGAGCACTTCTCCTTTGCCAAGATAATCCATCCACCTCACAGGTGTGGCATATCAACATGCTGATTAGACAGCATGGTTATTGCACAGGCAATAAAAGGCCACTCTAAAATGTGCACTTTTATCTCACAGCACAACGCCACAGATGTTGCAGGTTTTGAGGCAGCGTGCAATTGGCATGCTGACTGCAGACCACCAGAGCTGTCGCCTGTGAATTGAATGTTCATTTCTCTACCATAAGCCGTCTCCAAAGGCGTTTCCGAGAATTTGGCAGTACATCCAACAGGTCTCACAACAGCAGACCACGTGTAACCACAGCAGCCCAGGACCCCCACATCCAGCATCTTCACCTGCAAGATCGTCTGAGACCAGCCCCCCGGACAGCTGGACACCCGGACAGCTGAGGCAAATATCGGTTTGCATACCCAAATAATTTCTGCACAAACTGTCAGAAACCGTTTCAGGGGGAGCCCATCTCCAAGCTCGTTGT